AGCCAGTAGAACGCCTGCATTAGCGAAGTTTTATTAGCCCTAGGCGCGGACAGACAGACAACACACTCCACTAGATGGGGTAGATGTAACGCAGATGCGGGCGTTCTACTGGCTGCCGAGCGCTGCAAAGGCGTCGTCGATTGGCCAAAATTGGCATTGTGTTCCGTACACATTGTGTGTGGTCTACTCATCGTACTTAAATGCACCGTTCAAATTTCATTTTGCCCCATTATCAACTGTGGACCGCCACCTCACACGAAAAGAGCGCTGTCTGTGTGCGCGTTAGTTCGAATTAGTAGAAGGCGCGGATGAGCACACATCAACTGTATCGCCGTAGGAGCTGTTGAATTTTTTTAAAGGCTCTGGTGACATATACTTCGGCTTAAACTGGAGCTTTAGTACTTATAGGTTATAATACGATGTTTTAAGCTTCATAGTACTTTTGCAATCATGTTTCCTAATAAAAAGCTACTCTTAATATATTTCATATTTTTGCTTGCAGCTATTAGTAATATAGTACACGTATTAAATTTAGCGCTAGATAAATATAAATGTGTTATTACTAATATTTAAAAGTAGACACGTTTTAGTAGTAGTACACGTAGTTATTATATCAGTGTTAGATAAAGTACACAGCTTTTAAATAATAATTACTAGATACTTTCCAAATGTGACTATAGTGGCGTCCTCACACCCACACACACCACTCCGCCACCGCGAGAAAAAAGTATTCCCTTAGCTGTGATAATTAGTTTGTATTCGCCCGTGTAATGTGCGAAATAAGATAGTTGGCGCACTTCCCAACACGTTACGTAGCGTACATCAAGCGCACTGAATGATCGAGCTGACGCGGGGCCACTGAAGAACACGAATCCAGGTAAGAACACGAAACACTAAACGATATTGAACTAGACAATGTACACGCTGGGGTGGAAGCGGGGGACGGGTGGGCACGAAAAAAACAAAAGCCACGAGCTATTCAGAAAAAGACGAACCACGGGAGAGCACGCAGCCATAAAAATTGGAAGGACAAGATCATGACGGGAGTTTACATACCACGGAAGAAAGCTAAAATATTGACACCCCAGCATGCTGCAAAGCACGGGTTACAGAAGATCACGGACGTTCGAAGCCACGGTAGAACACGTACCGGTAAAAATGTACAGAAACAATTCTCTAACGAGACCACCGTTAAACGTGGAGCCCAGTCAACCGACCATACTTGAGTCCGCGGGAGGCCAGAAACGGGAAATTTTTCAATCTTTGGAGCACGATGCCTGGGTAGAACAGAAGCTCTCCGATCCGCGGAGCGCGCCACTACGGTAGCTAACGATAACACAGACGACAGACCAGCCGCGACACCAGAGATATCACGATAGCATGGACGGTGACCCAACCACTAAATCGTTGTAGAAAACGCAGCCGAAGAAGTTGTAGACGGAAGATCACCGAGCCTCGGAGCACGATACCAGTGTAGAACCTGAGCTTACCGAGCCACGGAGAACAGTAGTAAATTAGAACTCGATTGCATGGTCGGCGGACCAGCCACAAATTACACGGGGGGGGGCTTGGGGTGGCCACGATTGCAAACCGTGGAGCACGATACCATTGTAGAACACGATAACACGGGCAACGCAGGTGCACTACGCGAGTACAATACCATAAACAGCATTACTACACCGCGATTGCACGATAGCATGATCACGCGGTAGATGGAACCTCACGAGGAGAGGACGACACACGGGCGACGGACAACACGACTGGTTGGAGGCACCAATCCATGGGATAGTACCCTAAGGCTAGAGTACTGGCGATGGGAGGCCAACGCCCATGAAAGTATATATATCACGAAGCCGGTGCAACTCACGAATGCGTTTGAGAAAAGAGAATAGATAGCAGCCACGAAAAAGACCGTACTAAAGAGAGTAAAGCCTAAAGAGAGAGCGCGTTGCCACTAAGCAGCGTATGCCACGGGTGAGCAGGGCGCCACGAAGCCAGGAAGATCACGGAAGAGCACCGGCCATTGAAGAACATGACGTCCAACCTGTTGTACGGGGTAACGGAAGCGTACCAACACACGATATTATTCGGGTCCACATGGTACTACAGAATGGTAAGTGGTTAAGCTCACGAAGCCATGACCTACTGGGGTGAACGACGCTCACAAAGCACAAAAACCAAGAGCACTAAATTTGTGGCCACCCCACCTCCAACAAACCATGCCACTCCGCCGCGTAGCGGCGGCGGCCGACTAGTCCTAAACTATCAATGCTAGCACGGTGTATGTCCGTCCGTCACACGAAACGCTTAGGATTTTGAGCTTTATCATTGGCTGTCGAGCGGAGCGACGGCGGCTTTGATTGGTTAAAACTAAATTATGTAACTTACATAAGTAAATTAGTGTGGTTCACAGAGCACATATGGAGATTTGCACTAGGCTATCCATTATTCGATGGCGGCATCGTATAAATACTACGAAGTTTTAATTTGTACTATTTTAATATGGGAGGCGCGGCGTTGTGCTAGAATATCACTATTATCGTATTTGTAGATCTTAATAACTATAAAGAGGTCTGTAAACAAAGCTGTCGACCGTCCACCTCTAGCCCTTGTTCGGTAGAAGCTGCAGTGGTTTCAATGCCTTGCTGCTGCCACTTGACGCAGCATCGATACGCTGAGGATCCTAGACATGGTGATTTTGGAGCTCTCGGGATTTTATGCGAAGTGATAAGTCCGCTCGTATGTGTCGTTAGGCCGTATCGGGCCAGCCACCGCGGGCGTCACTAGTGGTGGACTCGACCGGCACAAAACTTCTCCGAGCAGAGCGGAGATAAGTAAATAAGTGGACGATAAGTAGACGAGCAGAAGAGTAGAGTATCACGTAGGTAGAGCAAAGATAACCGCAGCAGCTCACTCAACGCCGCGGCGACGAAATATATTGCCCTCGGGTGGTGGTCGCCGCAGCTGGTGAGCTCGCTGAGAAATTGTGGTTGTGAGCTCTTGAAAGAAACAATCTTTCCGGTGATAGAAAATGATAACCTCACTCAAATCGTAACACCTTCTTAAACAGAATTAACAAATTCTGAATGTGCTGGAGTTTAGTGTGGTAATGCATCTTATCTGTATATGATTGCTAGAGCAGATACGGTAAAATTCAACCGATATACAAGTGATCGAGTCTAGGTTTAAAAATAAGGTGTTAAAATCTGCAAAATATAAAGCAGCAATTAAAATGACTTCGAATTTGTAAGTTTTCATTAAAAGTAGTGCGGTAAGAAAGTTGGTGCGAAGCCTTTGGCTTTCCACGGCTACTAGCGCTGCGCAGCAGCACTACCAGCCCAACCCTCTAGTTAACGCTTTTTTATGGGGTCTACTTAACCAGCTATATTTTACCTCTCGTGTTGTGTTGCTGTCTTACCGCTCCAATTAAATCGTATCCAACGCGCTTGTCGGCGACACGTCCGCCCGTAAAGTAGTATCTGATTTTGTCTAAACAACTCTTAGAAAGCAATGGTTTACAGCAGTAACACATATGAGTTCATTTTGTTAAATATAAGATTATCTATCATTATGGATAAAGTGACAGCGTTTATTAGCACAGTGTTGCTCTTACGGCAGCTTCTGTTGTACATGTACCTCTATTTGGCAGCTCAGTCGGTTACCTCACATTCAGAAATGTTCTTAACTGTTATGTTGTAGTATTTCTACAACATAACAGTTGTAGTCATTCTTTTAGTCTAATAGTATGGCACGCATTCCTACGTGTACGCTAAGCACCTTGCAGCATAGGAAGCGTCTTTAGGGGCTATTTCATTTGAGAATAAGTAGCACTCAAATATTAATAGCAACATCGTGTAAGAAAAACTGAAAAAAGTAAATTTTCTAAAAAAAACATCTCTAATCTTTTTGTAAAGTAAGCAATATTTTCTTTCGTACACCAAGGTTCTATAGGTTTATACCCATGCCAAACCTTTACTTGGAGTGAAACCTGTGAAGTTTATACGAACTGGTAGAAAGAAAAAAAAATTCGCATTCGAAATTTGTATGAATCGATACCTACTATTGGTGTGCTCACATAATCTCGAATTAATTTCTGTTGGGCTGTACGTACTACTACTCGTAGCACTACCAGGATAAACTTGGAGCCTAAATGACCAATAATCCTGAATCATCGTTAAATTATCAAATAGAAAACACTTCCGTCAGCAGCAACAGCAGCAAGGCGTCTTGCGACACAATATCCAAGTGCTTCAATCAGTTGATTCTGAATCAGCACAAAATGAACGCTACATACATTAAAAATAGTACAATTTGAATATTTTTTAGCCTTCATTGAGTTTGATATGAGAAGTGAAGAGTCTTTAGTTACTTACAAGCAGTACGAGCAGGCAAGTAGTGCAAACTGGACAGGCCAGTACTATCGTTTGCGCTGATGTGAACTAAGTTCCATAGCGGCTCTAAAATGTCCCTTAATATCGAGCACGACGCAAAGCTAAATATATTGTGTGGCGTTTGTAGACATGCTATTTGATGTGCAGGTGATTCTGACAGTAATAGCCAACAATAATAAAGAGACTGTGTCAAGACCACTACATGTAGGATAATCATTTTTAAGCATGGTAAGTATGATGCTACGGGTTTTTGTAGGAATACTTGCACGGCTACTGGGAACTCAGTATTTTGTAGCGAATGGTCTAAATAAAACCCAAATTTATGACATTTAAGAAGTCGATTTAGACACATTGGGGCTCATAGTTTTTAAAATAATTATCCACCCGAAGCGAAGCGGGAAAGGCAAACAACTTGAATAAAAAGCCTAAGCTACCGCCGCGTAGCGGCGGCGCTCGGCTAGTTATTATCTATTGTAGTAGTTTTTAAAACTAACAGATGGAGTTAATAGCAATGTCTGCATGTATTAATACCGCGTATATTTCAGAAAATACTAAAAGATTAAATTTGCAAAATCCGTTTTTTCTTTTTCTTCTTTGCTTCTACAAAGCATGAGCAGATACATGAGCAGTAGCGATGAGTCCGACGCCTCTGTAGCCGTTTCTACAAGTACCCAGCAAGAACAGGGAAATGCGTCGCCGATAGAAATCCCTGCCGACGAGTTGGCCACGAGCGATGAGGAGGAAGAAGCGCCCAAACCACCGCCAACGAAGAGTCAGAAAACGCCGCGTAAATCTCCCATGTCAAAGCCCAACACTTCAAGCCAAAGCAAGAGAAAACCTGTTAAAGTTGGTGGGAAATGCTCCTCCGGAAACTGCAGTAAGAAAGCACTACAGGGCGGTCAGTGCTTCGAACACGGTGGAGGCTACAAATGCTCGGAAGCAGGTTGCTCCAAGCAGGCCAAAGTAATGGGAAAGTGTGTGTCTCATAGCGGCGGGACTCGATGCACCGAGCCAAAATGCACCAAGTTAGTGAGATTAAGAGGGCTCTGCATCGCTCACGGAGGTGCAAACGTGTGCTCAGCTAAGGGCTGCACCAAGAACGCGCAGTCGAAAGGCAAGTGCATCGACCATGGGGGAGGGAAGAAATGCTCCAAGAGGGGGTGTCACAAGCAAGTCGTGTCGAAAGGACAGTGTTTTGAACATGGCGGAGGTCAGCAGTGCTCGCACGGAGGATGCACAAAGCAAGTTAGGGCGGACGGAGTGTGTTTTGAACACGGCGGAGGCAAGCCGTGTTCAATTGAAAAGTGTTTAAAACAAGCCGTGACCAATAGCCTGTGTTATACTCATGGCAGGGGCGACCCGTGCGGCCATTTGGGCTGTGTACGGGTAGCTGACTCGAACGGCTTTTGCTTTGAGCACGGCGGAACGCGTCAATGTGCCTCTGATGAATGCAACAAGCGAGCCCATACAAACGGCCTATGTGTAGGCCACGGTGGGGGGAACGAGTGCTCGCATCGTGGCTGTGGGAAGCAGGCACTTGGGAAAGGAAAATGCTTTGAACATGGCGGAGGCACCAAATGTGACCAGGAAGGATGCAACAAGCGAGCTCTGTCGGTTGGCATGTGTTACAACCACGGCGGGGGCGCGCAATGCATGCATCCAGGGTGCGAGAAGAGATCGTATTTGAGAGGTTTGTGTAGTGCACACGGTGGACCGAAGAAGTGCTCGCGTCAAGGATGTGACAAGCGTGTCAAGTCGAAAGGACTGTGTTATGCTCATGGTGGGGGCACGAGGTGCTCGGAGCGAGGGTGCGAAAAGAATCGCAAACTGGACGGCAAATGCATGCAACATGCTTCAAGTAGTGCTGATAAGTAGTGGAAACTACGTATATTTAGTGATTTTTTTTTAATTTGTTTGTGGCGTCACATAATTTTTTGACGGAGCAAGATTGCCCCAGCACGAACACTAACCGACAAATGGTGATGCAACGATAATTCGTCACTAGCTGGCGCGACTGTTCCAAATTTTTCTTCAAGTTGCCGATGACAGGCAACGCGTGTACTGTACCCATGGCTTGCCATTCCTAAATCCGCCAGCTACCGTCCCAAGCCCCACGGTAGATCTCTACCCATGAGCGATTTTTTGGACGTCCTGGAACTCTCGGGACACCTCGACTTCCTTGGATCGGTTCACTTTCACCATGTAGCCACGCCCATAGCTAAGAGTCAACACAGAGCCAAGCGTATCGTCGACGCCTCCGACGACACTGTGTTCTTCGATAGTGGCAGCAGCAATATTTAGTCTTCGAAAGGCAGCTGCTCGGCAATTAAAGCGGAAAACGCGAAGAGTACGAAGCTACGTCTACTGCTCAAGTGGCAGAATCAGATCACAGAGGAGGAACGATGGGGAAAAAAGAAGATAGCGAAGTCTCCTAGTTAGTTTCGGATGAGGACGTCCCAGAGCCGAAGCGTATAAAGTCTTTCGGCCCATTAAAAAAAATCGATCACTATCTGCTAAATTTACTACAGGTCTGTGAGTAGAACTTGACTAGGAGGCACTCATTGGATTTTTAGAACGCCCCAAACACTGTGCGACGTGTTTAGTGTGAGGATGCATCAAGCAGACTTCATAGTTGTGTAGGGTTTGCTACTAGCAAGCTAAATGCTGGGGACATGCGAGAGAAAAAAAAAACACGAGGGAAATCTGCAGGGAAAATCTGTTATTCTGATTTAGCGAGGACGTCAATCGACTTAAAAACGTCGAGGATCTACAGCGATAGGCTCCTTGATACCGTTGGCCTTGTTGTAGACCGGTCGATACTGATCTTTATCCAACTTCATGGTCGAAGTAACAGAGGCCATGTTATTCTCTTGGACCTTGAACACCTTGGTAAAAATGCTAATGGGATCAATGTCTCTATCAATCCATTGCTCAAACAGCCTTATCTGGAATTTTAAGGCCTCCTTGGATGTCCATGGCGAAATTGCCAGGGCTCTCGAAACCACAACGGCAAATTCTGCCTCACTGCCGAACCCGTTCCGTAGAGCGCTGAACAAATCCGTTTTATGCTGCGGATTCATGGTATTAAACAGCTTAATATATTCGTCCAGAGCTTCCAGTTTCCCACTTGGCAGATACAAATGTACGTCAACTTCAGCGATCTTCAGTAGCGTGAAAACGTCTTTGACAGTCTTCTTGTTCTTTAACCAATCGTGTAACTGATCAGTCTGCAACTTCGTTGCAATATCCTTGGACCTGGTGGCCTGCGTCGCCCTCACGAGGCCTTTGGCAACAGCACCCTCGCCATACTTTGTCGAGAGCACCCCGACCACTGATACTTGCTTCTCTGGGTACTTTGTGCTGAACATATCCACGTAGCTGACCAGTGCCTTCAACTTTGGACCGGCAAGAGCCTCATCCACGCCTCGGTTCAGCTTCAGTTTCGCGACTGCGTCAGCAGGTGTATTTTTCATGGCCAACCAAACATTCAACTTCGTTCCTTCGGTAGCTCGGGCGAATTTCGATTTCATTGGAGCCAAACCGATTCTGGCCCTCACTTCGTCCTTCTCCGTAGTCGTTAGTATTCTTGAGTTCATCGCTATAAAGGCACTCACACACGTCGAAATAATTGCTGCAGCTATTACTAGTAGCCCAATCCAGCTGCGCATTGTACTATGTGGTGAGTAACCCAACGTGTCTACCGTCAGGAGACTGCAGAGCGATGGCCAAAATTTCATTTCAAATCCCCCCAAAATACTTGAAGTAATCCAGAAAGATTACGATATTGACAGTTATCCAGAAAGATTACGATATTACATGTAAATTTTAAAAACCTCACACATATTTTTTTAATTTACCTACTTAAAGTGCACTCAAAAATGTACTTTAAATATAGCTACCAGTATTTGCGGAATAGCGTTAAGGCACCCTAAGAAGACGACAACACAACAACCTTAGAGCGCCCTTAAGGTGCTTCCGCACCATTAGCACTGATCAGCGCCCTTATTTGTTAAAATAAATTACCAACACAGGCAGCCGACAGAGGCGAAGTTTCACGATAGTGCCGTCATATTGTCAATTTTGCATTTCATCACATTTAGTTGTCACATTTGCTTCTCTTGTTGTAGCAGCTCATCCATCAACAACTTTTTTTCTGAAGCACCAGGTATTTAATAACACCAGGTACATGTACGTGGTGCACGAGCTGCGCACTAGAGATGAGCGCGAGAGGCTCGACGTAGCATTTGCATTTTACGGAGAGACAATAAAGGACTTTCACGTGAAGCGAGCGATGCAATGGCGCTCTGCAACGCCGAATGTAGAAGTGAGTTGTCATGGAAATGCTAAACACACATGTGGTTTGTTATATTGATCAGGAACAAAGTAGTAGCGCGCTCCTGAATGTAGCACGATGTTTATATTGATGCGGCGAGCCTGCTGATTTCTTCATCCGTCTTCTGCATTTCAGCTAATTTTTTGGTGCTTGTCGGTACCCGCTTTGTTGTACACAGCAACATCCATGCGAATCTCAATCGCATAACGCGTAAATATGCGTCAGTGACACGATGACGCCCAAATTTGCGAGCGTTGAGCACATATGAGTAAACCATTCCCATGATCATCACTACACAGCAGATACCATTGAGCTGAGTCGGCTCACGGATCCAGCTCGTAGTTTCTTCTTTTGGAAACGATTCTTTTGACCCACTATCAGTATGCCACCTTTGCAAGTACGGCAGTAACTCATTTTTCCATGCGCTCAAAACTTCTTTGCGATAGCATTGCTGATGAAGCGGCTCGTTAAAGTTCACCCTCAGCGTTGTTGGGAGCAAAACTTCCACGACGATAACTTCCCAGTGATCCGTACTCAAGTGAAGCGGCAGAAACACAAATTGCGTTTGAGATAACCATTGTTCCGGTGGCTTTGGCCATCGCAATGTTAGAGTCAGCGATGAAAAGGCAGCCGTTCTCGTGCACTCTATGCTATCAAAGTGATTGTCATGTCGATGGCAGCGTCGTTTAGCCTGCCGCGTAGGACTCCACAAGCAATATCGTTGAACTTTACAACGCAGATTCCCGACTTAGTCTTCAGCTCTGTCATCAGTGATTGTGTCGAAAACTTCTTGATCACATCATCGGACAGTGCTTCGTGCATTTGTGCAGATTCGAATGTAGCAACCCATTCGTTTTGGTCTCCATAGCAAATAATTCAGCTGGGGGGACTTGAACAAAGCGCCATTCCTGTTTTATCGACTTAAGGCTTCAAGGAAACCCTTCGATTTCGACTTTATGTCGTAAAAACACCTCTTTTGGTACAAGAAAAAGCTACATAGACATCACCAGTGTTAGTAGCAAACACATGACTTAATAATTGTGCTGAGACGCTCTTTGTACTCCTCGAGCCACCTTAATACTCTTGTAGCTCCCTTGGTACTGCAAAGAAGAAACTGTTGACGTACCTGTGGAGAGCGATGTCGCTTGAGCCGAATGAAACCAGGAGACCCCATGGTGCGCCTTCCTGATTGGCAGCAAGACCGGCCCTCATGTTCAGCATCGAAGCCGCTGCTTTTTTCAAAAGAACGTCTGGAATAACAGATGAACGTTCCTTGTGGCTGTTCGCGCTGGTTTCCGTTGCAATTTCACACCTAACGGGACGAGCTTGGATGAATTTGTCAGTCATTCGCACTGGGCACAGGTCGAGCACATTCAAGACTTTCTTCACGTTTGGATGATAGTAAGACCACTGAATAATTTCTGTCATCGCTGTCGTCACCTCAGAAGAAAACAAAACAAGAGCAAACTTCAGTTTTCGGGTGCTCCATCCTCGATTCTTCTTTTTTCTTGTTCGAGGTTTAAGGGCTGGGAGCTGGAGAAATTTTAGATCTGGAGGTTTGGGAAGAATGCCGATGACACGGTAGCCTCACCAGGCAGGACTTTGACATGTATTTTCTTATGTCAGATGTATCCACGTCCTCATCGTCTGGAGAGAGTTGTAATGCAGGTTGTTCAGAAGGTTGCGCAGGTTGTGTTGTTTCTACAAAACAATATCGGACGGCGCTGTATCTTTGTCTGAAAGAGAAACGCCGTGCATCGAAATTCCCTACTTTCGAGCGAGGTCAGCTAGAGATTCAGCCTTCATGGCCTGTTCTTGATCAACTTCCATTTCGGCCATCACATCTGCGTAATTGAGCTGGTCCAGGTAGCTTCCCGTATCACTGTCGAAGCTATCGTCAATGGATCCACAGCCCCCCCCCCTACTTCTTCCTCGAGCACTGTCTTACACTTGCTCATATGCTGGTAAAAATCAACTGTCGGTAACGCACTACGTTTTCGAATGATTGGTTCAAACATTGCTTGTGCTCTTGCGTATCTCTCAGCGTCGGACAAGACAACCATATTTGCCTGTTCTTTCCGTCGTAGACGCACGTACTTAACAGAACGTGTTCTCGTGCTCAGAGCCGCAGCAGAAATAATCTTTAAGGGTGCTGCAACGACTTGGGGCGCCATAACCGGAGGTGGTCGTGCCTTCACCATATTAACCACCTCACGAAGCCGGCGCAACCCAGTTTTAGACGTCGCGTACAATTCTTCAGTCTTTGTCATGCTCCATCGAGCAGGTACTGATTCTGCTGAAAGTGATTCGAATCCATGAATTTTGCGATCAACAATCATTACGTGCTGGCAAGGAAGTCGGCAGCTTTTATAAAACAAACAAGTGCACGACCATAGTAGATCGACAACATACCATTCTTGACCATACAAACACACCTTCCATTCGGATTGGGCCAACCCGACGTGCCGACATGTAGCTTCACTCTGGTGCACCATGAACAAGTTCCACTAAAACGAAACCTTCACAAATGTGTCGTTAAACAGCTTCGTAGCAACTCGTTGCAAGAACCGAGGAATATCATCTGGTGGACACGACTGACTTAAAAACTAGCGCAACGATGTCAGGACGTGGTTGACATAATTGTTTTGGTTTTGTAGTAATCCCGCGATTGTTCGATCAATCCGTGATTTTTTACCCCAAGAAGCCGTTTAAGCTGGTTCCAATTGCTTTCAATCCTATTCGTCGTCGTATTGCCCGCTGTAAAGTAATTCCCACGACCATGGTTCGACCACATATCGCTACACCACTCCCAGTTGTTTTAAAAGTACGTAAGAAGCTTTGGGCACGGCATACTACAAATATCGGAGCACTTTCCTTTACAGAGTTTCTCGAATCCATCTCTTGCTCTCTCAAAAGGTTCTCTGGTAGTACTGTACATCATCTGCTTGATCGAGATCTCCACTTCATCTCGCTGAACGCCATTAAGCCCATACTCTGCCCGCTTTATAACGTTTTTCCAGCTCGCCATGGTGTCAAACTGGCAGAGTAGCACTGTGGCTTGGGGGAAGCATCTCTCTAGCACTTTCCACTCCTTGAAGGCTTTGTCTATCACAAAGGTCTCGATGTTTCTCCACGAATTGTTGTGCGCCTAAAAAAAATCCAAAATAGTCTCCATTGTCTCCATCTTTTCGTTGAGAGCGATAAAGTCTAGTACAGGCACGCCACGTCCTGTTGCACTAGTCACCAGTAGGCCACCTGCATTTACATAAAAATAAGATACAATTAGTAAGGATGCTACACCAGAGATAAGGGCGCCCTAGAGATAAGATTGCCAAGCATAAAGGGCGCCGCAAAGATAAGGGCGCCGAACGAAAAACATTAAAGGAAATTTTATGACTTCACACAATTTATTAGTAATCTTACTGAGATGAAACCCAAAGTTGTTCGTGCCGTAAGTCCAGTCCATGCATAAAGTGTCACCCCATTGCTCAAAAGCCACCTTTTGAGTGGCACTTTGCATCACAACACCGCACGTCACGTCGTTTTGATCGTGGATCACAAGTACCGCATGATTCTTAAACTCCGCGAGGGTATCAAGTATGCACCTTAGCCATTTATAAGCGGAAGTACTTTCCCGTACCCTTTGCACAATATTACGCGCTTGCTGGAGTGTCACCTGACAGTCCAAGGCGCCCAATACCAACTTTTGAATGCGACGTGAGTCTGTATTTGCATCGGCAAGAAGACCTACTTGTTCGAGAACCAGACTATCTTCCGGTATTGACCCGGCTCCAAAGTAACTCGCGTAAATCGTTGCGTTCGTCCGGTGATTATGTGTCCATGTTTACAATCAACGACATCAGCTTGTTAATAGTTCATCAAACCCTTCAATAATTGTATGGCCACGCCAGTTCCGTAAACCAATTTTTTACTCTGGTTTTTTCCTGGTGCGGCAGCATTTCTTACTGCAGCTGTGAAGCGGGCTTGACATCCAGTAGTGGTTCTCACGGTTGGCAGGTAGGTTTGAACAGCCAATCACATCAAACCTTCCTGTCCTGTTTTTTTCAACTAAAACCTACTCGGAAAACTCGGTAGGTTTGGCCAAGAAGTAAAGGTATAATGTTATTGGTGCAAACGACTAGGAGAAGGTTTGATTTGATTGGTTGTGGCACAACAACATCGCGACCACCAACTTTAGTATTTCATTCTGCCAAAATGGTTAACAAAAGGTGGAGTGCTGAGGAAGAATATGCTCTTCTCGATTACCTGTCTACACATTTAGATGAGTACACGAAAGGAGTCAAGTCGAAGCTCTACGAAGCTGCTCTTACAGTGCTCCCGCAGAAGTCAGCAACGCAAGTTAAGACCAAATGCACGGACCTCGAAAGCACCTACAAAAGTTACAAGACTAAACTCAGTCGCTCTGGCTTTGGTTTGAAAACTACTGATCCTACGTCTATCAAAGGTGTGTTTGCTTGTTATGCTTTTTTTGTTTTATTGGACGATTAATGTTGCTACATCGACAGACATGCTACTCAAGAAATGCAAGTACTTCTACGAGATGGACGAAATCTTTGGTTCGAGACACAACATGGTCCCTCCGTTTGTGCTAGAGCCGAATGCTGCTGTGCTGAATGGACAGGTTTACACTAGGTCCAACACTACCGTCACGACGCAGACACCAGCAATGGTCAGCACCTCCACCGTCAGCACTCCCCGTCCCCAGCAGTGGCCATTGCCAGCATTGTCAGCAGCCCGCCGACGCCAGCAGCAGCAGCAGTCATCAGCACACCAGCAGCAGCTGATAGCAGTACGCCGACACTAGCACCAGGAGAGAGTATGAATGTGTCGGAATACTTTCCTGCCGACAGCTCGCTTACCATACGGTCGCCAACGGCTAAGATAAGCAGCAAGCGTGTCTATAACGATTCGCCGGGATCGTCTATCGCTAAGCTCCTTGCCCAGATTCGTGACGAGCGTGACACGACCCGAGCAGAACGCCACAACGAGGAAATGTTGATGCGCAGAGAAGAGCTGGAACTGAAAAGGCACCAGTTCGAGGCATACAAACTTGAGTTGAAACTTAAGGAACAGAAGATGGAACGCATGTTTTCAGTTATGACGCAGAAGTTGGACTTGCAAGCCAAGAAGATGGAGATTGAGTTGCTGAAGTTGCGTACTACTTCTAAGCAACATGAATAAAAACGTTTTTGTTTTAGTTTTGTTTTCTATTGCTCTTCAGTTAGCCTAGGTGAAAACCTCTCGAACGCAGGACAATTTCTTGTATGCATGTACGCAGATCTTCACTGTCCTCATTGTACCAATCCACTGCTGATGCGTTATCCTCTTGCTGAGTATTGTATTGATCCCTCGGTACCTCGAAGCTGTCCGAACTATCGATGCACAAGTTATGAAGTATAAAGCAGGAAACGATTTTGCTGCAGACCTTCATGATATCGTCTTCATCGACAATTCTGTCTCGGATTCCATCGAGAACAGGAAACCGAGCCTTCAATATCCCGATGGTGTGCTCAATTATAATGCGCTGTTGCGCCAAAAGCCAATTGAACGTCTTGTTTCGCGGTAGTGTGCTAGCTGGCATTTTATATGGGGTCAAAATGAATGGGAAGCAGCACGAATACGCTGTGTCGCCGAGAAGATATTGACCAGCGTCAAAATATGCAGCTGGCTGCTCAGCCATAACCGTCAAACTCATTGCCCGTTTATCATGCAAAGACCCTGGCTGGCCGACCTGTATCAAGTAGAACTAGCATTAGCGTAGTACCAAATGCAATGAGTCTTGCACCTTACCTGGTAGTATGTAATACGGCGGCGGTGATCGCATACAATTTGAGCACCAATGCAGTAGACTGACTTTCGGGAATAGTAACACTCGAAGTCAACAGAGGGAGCGCTACTCAGCTTAAACGCTGTGCCGTCTACACACCCAACGCAGGATGGGAACCCTGAACGCGTCTCAAACGTTTGTGCTATTAAAACCCGTTCCTTCTTGCTCGGCCAGCGAAGAAACTCCGGCTCAATGGAAAGAATTGCACTAGTCACTCGGTCCCTGAATTTATAAACAGAACCTTTTGGACACACCACCGTAATAGAATAGCTAGCAATGCCACTAAGACGTCTGTAGCTGTGAGCTTACCTTCCCCAATGCCAAAATGCTGCGCAATGCGATAAATCGTCAAGTCCTGCAGCGCGAAGAGAAAAACCACCAGCTGAAGTTGGACAGGAGCTTGTTGCTGCTTGCCGGGTACTCGAGCGAAGGCAGTGTGGGCCTCGATGCGTCCCAGCAAAAACACGAAGGTCTGTCTGCTCATGCGTAGGTCGCGGCGAGCACGAACGGCATCAAGCAGAAAAATCCGTTCAGGGCTCCATTTCCCAGTTTTTACGACGTCTGGACGACCCAGGTAGCGGTGGGAGACTATCGCGCAGTAGAACATATCGTCATCGTTTTCGTCGCTCTCGCTTCCCTGGTCACAAAGCTGATAGCTTAGAGCCGAGTGCTGTAGGTGCAGCAGCAGCGCTGCTCGTAGAGATCGCCCCATTCTCACCTTCAGCGCTCACTTACCAATGAAGTCACTGGCTGCGACTGTCAGTAGCCCCTGCACACGCTGCTCACAGTTGAACAATGAAGGTTTGATTTGATTGGCTTACGAAACCTTCGTACCTTCTAACCGTGAGAACCACTAGTGTATCGACTTGGCGTACTGCGCCGACCTTTGCTGCGAGACTTTTGCGACCACCCATGTGTGCAGCGGAGCACCTTGTAGCTGTGCTCCATACTCGTTGGTATCTGCAGAGCGTTCAATCTAGTAAATCATATCAACATGTTATCAGTATTCAATAATATGATGGCACAATCTTTAAACTTACGAGTTGTGCTTTTTCACGGTCTGAGTATCACGGGCTCGGAATAACAGGAAAACATCGCTGCTGTACCTCTCTAAAACGCGGTTAACCTCACACCACGACGAAAAAAACCAGCGTAGGTAGTGGAGGTGTCTTGTTTTAAACGCCTTCACGGTATGATTTCATCGCTATACGAGCTGAATACGTTTCGGTACACCTGGCGCGGGATTGTGGGTCTTGAACATACCGTTTGAGTTGATCGTCACGGGTATCGGCTGTTGCTCCCATCGACAGCGTCTCTGCTCCACTTTCTTCGCCAGTGCTGCTGCTCGCTCCAAACTCGATCGCCGCCGCCGCCGCTTCCCGGATCTTGCTGTACGTCGACGGCAAAACACTTTTCACTTGAGAGCTTGTCTCTCCGGCGAAAGTGATTTTGTAGCGCCTACATTATTTTGTTTAATAATACACAGTTGGTATTTTTGTGATTCAGCAGAGCTCCAAGAAGCAGCAATACAAACCTTGTCGATGAGAGTGCTTTGGCTTCGATTCTGCGCACGCCATTAAAATTAATAGTAAACAAACGTAGAAAGATGTCTAGCAACCGATTGTTCTCACCGATCTCTTCAAGAAGTTCCTGCAACTCCTCGTTTGAATCGCTTATGTGTATAAAATCTTCGTCGCGGTCGTCGTCTGGGGCGTCACTAGAAGAATTACTATCCATCGAGCTCTCGTCTACGGAGAAATACACGTCATGATACCAATCAGGGCCAAGCCGTAAATAAACGCACGTACCCTTCCGCATTGACTTTATCCTCAGCGAAGTGCACGTGCTCGCAAGCGACTCCCGGCGACAGATACTTCAGTTGGCGATCGTCTGGAAGTATCGCGCGCGGAGCCTCCTTTTCCCGCGCTGCGTGTTTTCTAGAATGTTCACTTAAAATCCGACGGCTAGTATTTATCGTACCTAAATGAAAATGTATTGTACTACTGAGTAATTTAATTTAGCACGGAAATTTTATGTTTTACGTGTAATCTTTGAAGCTCTTAAAAATTAAGAAAATTCTTAGGGCGCCCAAACACGTTTGAGCTAACGGGACTTTTTTTATGTAAAAAACTTAGGGTGCTCCAACCACTTTGGTATTTGCGCCGACAGAAATGCAGGTCTCATACTTCTACTTTGCAAATGATACACGACACTGCTGTGACGTAAAGTGCGGACAGACCACGACAGTATGATGACGTGGATCAATGAGGAAATTATATTTAATTTTTTTCTTTTTTAGTTTCAAGTTTTTTTTTTTTAATTTTGATCTTGTTTATAGGTATAGTTGATGGACCCAAGTGGTAATGTTGGAAAGCTTAAGTTCCTAAATGCAAGATATTAAGGAAGACTTGGAGGGCCAATAAAATTTAGTACTATAGCATTGGAATCAGGGGTTCCGAAAATGTTATTTTTATTAAATATAATTTTTATTTTGCCGTAAAATAACTTATCTGCGAGCTTCCATTTCAAATTCAAATAATTTATTTCGCGCTCTCTCCAGGCAATAATCTTTAATCGAGCTCGATGGAGCCCTACGGACCAGCGGTCCAGCTGAACCGCAATCTACAATCGATCTGCCGCGCTCTTGCCCTCTCATTCTGATGGCTGGTCGCCGACACTCCGCGAGAGCCACCTGCATTTTGTGCAGCATTGTCATTGTCCAATCTGTCTCCAATACCCACACCCACCGCAATGCCTCCGAAGCGCACGAAGCGCACGAAGAGCCAGCCGCCCACAGTCTCGGCCACGAGTCAGCCACTATCGCGCCCACGAGGCCGTTAAAGAAGGCCAAGCACAAGGACTAGAAGGCCAAGCAGTCCACAGCTCCGCTCACCTCGAAGGAAGTGGCAAGGTTCTACTTCAAGGTCGTGTTGGACGATGAAGGTGAGGCCACCGTCTTCTATCGCTTTCGTTGTGGTGTCCGCGCAAGATAGAGCCCAACACTGGCTACACAAACCTGCCCCAGCACATATTTCAGTGGCATGCCTACTTCGTGGCCGAGGTGACGGCAGCTGTTGGTGAGAAGGGCACTCTTGTCGGCTTCATCGACGACAAGACGGCCAAGATCTTCGCCTGGATCGACACGGTGCTCACAGCCAACGTTCCATTCAACTTCTGCGAGTCAAAGGCCGCTGTCGACTACGTGAGCATCGACGCTTTGTCGACCAACAGTCTGGTGAAGTAAATGACGCTACTAACTCGTGAGGTCGAAATCATAATTGCCGATATCCTCCCTAAATCGTTTAAAACCATTTTGAACGGGTGGACCTTTCGTTCGGAGCACTTCGTCGCGATCTTCGCCTCCTTTCACCACGACGGGGAGACTGAAAACGTGTTGCTAGCCATTGGCCCCATCGGTGGATGACGATGTGGACGACCATACGGCCCCTGCATATATGTCTTTCAAAGGGGTATACTTAAGCTTTTCAACAAGTCAGCCGACAACATTGCGTACATCGTTGGTGACAATTGCAGTGTAAACTGTAAAATTGCTGAGGAACTCAGTGTTCCTTTGGTGGGTTGCGCCAGTCACCGCCTCAATCTGAACCTCATGCTCGCTGAGCACGATCACCTTCTTGATCAAGTCCAGGCCGTCATGATCAAGCTAAAGAACGCCCCGATCGCCGCTGCTCATTTACGGTAAGTCCCCTTTTAACCTTACACTACTCTGCGATTGAATTCCAATATTTTATATTTTAATTTTTTTATGTTTTGTATTTAGCCGAGTGACCACCTTGCGTCCGGCACTTCGTCAGGCGACTCTGCATTTGCGATGGTCCGCCGCTATGTAGAGCTCAAGGAAGTAATGGATAAGATTGATGACGATGAGATAACGTCGATGCTGCTCTCCCGTCGTGATGAGAAGGCTATTGGGGGTGCTCTAGAGAGCCTTAAGAAGTTCGAGTCAACTTCGAAGCAGCTTCAGCAGGCTGATAGTGTGACGCTGCTGGATGTGCGCGACCTGTTCGACGCCTTCATCAAGTTGGCACCAGACGTCAAGAAGTACCTCGCGCCTGACGCATCGATCGTCAAGAGCCCCGGGTTCGAGGAAGCTTGCGTCCAGGTTCTTCTCGGCAACGAGGCAGCCATCTTAGAGGAATCGTCCGACGTGCTTGTCAAGGTCGTGCCTGATGGCCCCCAGCCCACAGATAAAGAGCCCCCAGCCAAGGCTGCGAGAGAGAATTTCGCGAAGGACATACTTGTGGAGGCACGTCGCCAGAGGGAGAAAGCGCCACGCTTTAAAGGCCACGTAGCCTACATCGTGCCGACCTTTCCCCAGGTGCCAACTTAGGCCGGGCAAGAGTCTAGCGATGGGGACTCGAAGGTAAGGCGCAGGAGGCTACTGATGTTCCTCGAAGAAGGTATATTGGAAAGTGAGCTTGAAATGGTTAGATGTGGGTCGGCTACGAAGCAGTGCTTGTTATCATTCCCTTGGTATCCTATGTAAGTATATACATTTAACTGAACTAGATCCTAAGTAGTCATTGAGTCGAATCTTGAAGTAGCGTAGCGTAGTAGTGAACCGCTGTTCATTCGAACCGGGTCAGAATCTCCATAGTGAATTCAAATGAAAAAGAATGACTGTCAATAAAGCTCCAAGTTTGGCGATACTCGTCCAAACATGGTGATTGCCTTCCGGTCAGGCGTGTGTCTGCCTGGCCGTTCATTGGCAACTTAAGAAGACAGCCGGCAGTCAGCAAAGACAAGCAGGAAGATAATCGAAGAAAGTGGGACGCATTGGTACCAACGTCATGGCTGTGACTTTAGTACGTCTTTACATCCTCCCAGACTTGACTTCTCGTTGACGCTTGTTGAAGTTGGAAAAAAGAGAACCTTCCAATGCGACACACGGCGGATGGCGTTTTCGCGCTCCCAAGTTGATTCGTGATCTGGTTATCCGTGCCATTTCACAAGTCATTCATGTTTGCGATTGAATTGAAGCTTGCGAAGAAGCTTCTCGATGATGTGCATCGTTGCACCAGTGTCGCGTCAATAATCCGTCTTGAGGCCTTTGGAATAGGACGAGTCTTAAAACGCGACGGATTTTCTACGTAATGACTCAACATGTCCACATTGAATGTGGAGCTCAGACGACTCATGCATCGTGGAAGATTCAACTTGGCCACATTTGGGTTTATCATTTTCACAATATAGAATGATCCAATCATGCGAGCAGCGCGCTTACCTCGCTTCTATTATTGTCTTGAGTCACATGAGCGCAAGGAATGCGACGAGTATCCAGGAATCAGTATTAACGCGTCGATTCGTCAGGTTTCGAGCAGCACGGGCATGACAGCGCGTGGTACACTGACGAAACGAAACCATATCGATCGCAGGGCCCGAAGATTGACGCGACAACGCATCGGCAACCACATTGAGGTGTCCCTTAACGTGATGCAAATTGAATGTAAACTGTGCGAAAAACGTCAAATAGCGAGCCAATTTCGCTGAAACCTTCGGGTGGTGCAAAAACTATATGCAACCAGTGTTTTCTGTGTAGATATCAAATTCACGACCATATAGGTAGTGACATCACTTGTCCAACGCTGGTTTAATAGCGAAGGGTTCTTTCTCGTGTGTTGGCCAATTGGTCTCGTGAGGACCAATTTTCTTTGAGAAGAAGGCGATCGGATGATCTTGACCTGAACAAAC